GTAAATCAAGATTTATAAAAAATTAAGTAGAAAGTAGCAGAATGTTTAGTATGTCACTGAAGTGAAAAATATAAATTTTAGAGGGTTTAATACATGGAATAAAGATGGAGGAAATAAAAGTGTGGTTCTTAGCTCTCCTTTTTCCTTCTTCTCCATGATTCTGCAGTTTTTAAGAGCACAAAGAGTGATTGGTTGTAAGTTAGTCACAGTTTTAGTTATGTAAGTAGATATGGAATACTTTCTTTTTAATATATAAAAACAATAAACTTTTCTATTGTTAATAAGATAAAAATAGATATAAAAATGAAACAACCACGTAGTTCAGGGCCATTTTGTGCCATCAAAGCCAAAGTGTGCCAGGTGATAAATTTGAAATTGTGCAGAAAATCTGCAGAGACCTGCCAAGTTTAGTGATAGCATCCTAATAAACACAAGAAACAAGATCCTGATGAGCTTTGGAGTTTTCTTCCTGACTCAGAGAACTGAGATAAACAGAACTCCCAGTGACAGAGTATTCTGAAAGAGCTCAGAGGAGACCAAGAAATCCAGGTGCAAGAAGTGCAGCAGAACCAAAACAGAGAGAAAAAGTTACATAAGTCACAACCATACTCCCTTCACCTCTCCCCCCCATATCCATGTCTGCCTTCCACCAGCAGTGGAGGAGATTTGAGGGGTGGAGGAATCTGCCCTTTCAAGGCTGGAATGAAGCTGTGCCTCCTGCTCCTGGACACTGAGTTCTGCCTCATCCATCCCTGATGGATCCTCTAGCACCACCCTGGGGGTGCTGTGGGTGTTCTGGGTTTTCCTCCTCCTTTTTCTTTAGGTCAGGATGCAGAGGTAGCTTGTAGTGTCCTTCATGATTACTCCATCTGTATTAACAGCCACGGGTTATAATGAAATAGAAATGTAAATAAATATAAAATAATAAAAACTAAAATATAAAATATAAAATATAAAATATAATGTATCCTGTTATATATCATATACCATATATCATATTAATAATATATAATATATACTTATATATAAGTATATATTATATATTTACATAATATATACTTATATTTATTATTTATAATATACATTATATTATCTATAATATATAATAAATATAATATTTATATTATAATAATTATAATATTTTTAAATTTAAATATTAATCTTTTTGATATTATGATCATATATTATCATCCACTGATGATAATATATTGATATTATTAATAATAATTTAATATATGTTAAATATAAATATAAATATAAATATAAATATAAATATAAATATAAATATAAATATAAATTAAGGCTTAAATTGCATCTTCTTTGATGCAGTTGTAGACACAGAGCTTGTATAAAATGCTAGTTTTTCCCAAGGTTAAAATACCTGACTTCCCAGCAATCCTTTTTTCTGAAGTTGTTCAAACATAATTTAAATGTATGTGTGTGTGCATAAGTTCATAATTTGAATACTATATATTAATACATGTTTATGTGTAAAAATTATATGTATTGCTAAACGCTGTGAAAGCACTTGAATGTTGCTATTGCTCAGGAAAACTCTCTTGTTTCTCTATTTCAGTTTTTTAGTTCTTTTTGTTCTTCCTCCTGAATGGGAATGCACAGGAATTCACCCAGGTGCCGTGGCTGAACGTGTGTCTCTGCAGGGAGAGGGGCTGCTGCTGAATGTGCTGCTGGTGCTGCTTCTTAGTAAATGTTAAACCTTTTCAAATGCTAAACTGAGGGTTTTTTTCATCCTTCCAGCCAGAAAAGTGGTTAGCTGAAGGCAAACCCCAGCCAAAGCAAAACAAATGAGTGATGACTTAATTGTGGCCTTCCAGTATATCAAGGGAACCTACAGGAAAAATGGAGAGGAGCTACAACAGAACACAGTGACAGGAGAAGGAGGAATGGCTGAAAAAGAGTAGGTTTAGGTCAGTATTAGGACCAAAAATCTTCAGTGTGAGGGTGGTGAGGCTCTGGAACAGATTGCCCAGAGATGCTCCATCCCTGCAAGTGAAGGGCAGGCTGGATGGTCTGGTGGTAGGTGTTCCTACCCATGGCAAGGAGGTTGGAAAGGATGGCCTTTAAGGTGTCTTCCAAACCAGGCCAACCAAAGATTTTATGATTTTATGAAGTAGAAATACGTAAGGGTGTGTCTGTACTGCCTGCAACACCATAAGGTGTTCCTTGATATTAGGGAGACAAAATGAGACAAAAAAAAGCTACAGCAGTTCTAGAAGTACAACTACCCCTGTCTATTGATTCTAGGGTAGTTACCCCTACTTCCACAGGGTCTCTGTGAACCTTAGATGCTTTGAACTCTCTGAATTCACCACCTAGTCCCTGCTGTTATCCTTAAATTCTCTCTAGCATTTATCATGCTTCACTAAAACAGCTTCACAAAAGTATGCAGAGAGATTGGTACGTCTGAGAGAGTGTTTTGATAGCAAAAGATTGATGAGCCTGACTTCATTTGTAGATGTGTGGCAACCCCTCATTTCCCTGGGTTTTTCACCACTTCCCAGCTCTCCAGAGGATTTTGCAGACTGTAGAATCTGGGCTCTGTAGAAACCACAGAGCAAAATGTCTTGGAAGAGTGAGACCGCAGATATGTGGTGTGAATTGTGTAGGTGGAGAGGAAGCCCCTGTTAAGGCAGCTTTTTTCACTTTCTGACCAGTCATCTACACCCCTAATATCAATTACCAGCCCTCTGCTTTTGGGATTGGGCAGGAAAGATCCATTCCCCTCACTGAGGTGAGCATTGCCCCAAGCAGACATCAGTGACACTGGGTTGTTTTTCACACTGATGGGCCTTAGAAACTGCTGGGATAACAACCAGCAGCCTTTGCTGTCATTAAATCCTTCCCATTCCTCTTCCAAACACAGCCAGTCTGTCGTGGATACTTCTCTCCTTCTCTGACTTTGTCTCCAGAGAAAATGTTTCTTCTTTTAATGCCCAATAAGCACAAAAATTCCAGCTCAGTTTTCAATGCAGAGTTAAACCAGCTCAGTTGTTTAGAGATGCATTTTGTACCTTAATCTGCTTTTATCTTATCTTCTGTTTGCATACTGTCTTTTAAAAAGCATGAGGTCAGACAAGCTTGGGTTATGGCCTACTGCTCAGCTGGAATTATCTCAGCTTATTTTTAATGCTGCCCTTACTTAACCTGATTTGTGGAGTTTGTTACAACTTGAGATAACCAGCTCTTGTTCCCAGCTGTGGAGCAAATTATCTTTGTGACCCTCACATCCTCTTGAATGCTCTTAGAAATGTGCATGGGGTCTCTTATCTAGCTCATCATACAGTGGCTGGCTCTGTGACATTTTGCTGTATTCCTAAAAAAAATGGGTGCCTTTCTCTAATTATTGAAATGAATTGTGTTGCAGACTGCCAGCCTTCTGTGAGCTGATTAAATCCAACCCAGTAACTGTGTTAAATGTGTCTGTGGTGCCTTTGAAAACAGCTTTTCTGTCCTGCCACGAGCTCAGACTGGCTATGTCATCTCACTGAACATCTCCAGCTTGTGGAAATTCTCCACTGCTGGAGCAAAAATCCTGTCCAGAGGAAGGGGCTTGCAGTCCTAAAGCTGGATCTTAGGCAAGGTAGTGGGAATGGCAGCAAAAGGAATGAAATGCTAGTTTTTTTTTTTTTTCACTCCACATGGTAGCAGTCCTGGCAGAAGATTATCTGGCTCTTTCTACTCCCATCTAAACCATTTCTGAGGCTGAGTGCCTGTTCAGAAAGAAGTGCAGTTTCCATGGGGAGTGGAAGAGTTTCTCCTGGCGGGGTGGACAGGAATCAATATTGTTCTTAACACCTGCTTTGTGTGCTTGTGCTGTGAAGAGCTCGTGGATCTCAGACATGTGCCTGTATTCAGCTTGGCTGGAGGTGTTTCATTTCAAAATGTTTTCAATTCTTTCTTTTGCATCCTGCCAATTCTATTTATTTGTTTATTTATTTATTGGAGGGCGAGGCAATTCCCTCATCCATTGAGGGCTGTGGCTAAGATGTTGAAAGGTTTTCTGGTCTGTTAGAGGACCACCTGCTGTATAGATGCTATAAATATTCTATTCTAATATTATATTATATTATATTATATTATATTATATTATATTATATTATATTATATTATATTATATTATAGTATAGTATAGTATAGTATAGTATAGTATAGTATAGTATATTTATTATAGTATTTTATTATATCTATTATATTTATTTATTATTATATTTATTATATTATATTTATTATATTATGTAATATAGATATTACCACTTTGGACATTAACAAAAATATCTTCTAATAACAAAAATAACCACCTACCTTATTCCTAGAATGTGCTGGAAGGGACAGCATTTGTCCATAAACTTTATCCAACCAATACTGTGCCTCAGGAAGATGTAAATATATTTTTTCATTTAAATGTTGAAAGCCCTATTAAATTTGGAACTGATATTCTGAACCTTCAGACTGCATTGACAAGCCAAATGTCAGTGGATATATCTGTGGGTTTGCTTTCTCAAGTAACATAATTAAAAAGACTATCTAAAGCGAAGGGTGATCTTTCCTCTCTATTCATTTTCTCTGACAGGTTATTTTACGTATTTCAGATTACATCAAATGGAAAAAGTCTCCTCTTTTGGGCTGTTTTATTAACTTCTTTGAGCATAGCAGAGATAGATTGTTCCAATGTATTCTTTGATGAGAACTGGCTCTGAAAGCACTCAGCATAAGGGCATGTGGGAATGTGAATGGGGTTTTCTGCATTTTTAAAAAATTATCATTGCAGAGGGAAAAGACCACTCTACTTCATTTAACATTTTTTGGCAAAAAAACCCAAAGGCATCTCAGCTCTGAGACAGTTTATCAAGAAGTGTCAGTTTTCTTTCCCCTTTTCTAATCACTGCCAAGAACATTTGACTGTTCTCCATCCCCTTTCCATCCACTCCACCCATGTAATGCTCCATTCTTTTTACCGATAATAAAAAAGTTACACAGAGTGAAACTTGTTTCCTTCATCTACTCTGATATGCAGTTCTCTGAAAACACTGATGGAATTTGTGTGTTCTGCTGGGCTGCACTGCATTGCCTTGCTCTGCAGAGTCTGCAAGCAGGATGTTTAGGACCTTCCTCCTCCCTGTGGTTCATCCTCCTCTCTGGTTCCAGCTGTTGTTTTCCAGAAGGCAGCTCCGTGACCCAAAGACACCGAGCCCTCTGGAGCAGCCAGCAATGTCACTGCAGCTGAGATCCCAAAGGAAAAGCCATTTTAGGTTGTTCCCACAATCCAGCCTTTTCCTTGACTGGTGATTTTCTTCAGGGCTTGCCATTTCTGCTCTCCTTCCACAGCCTTTTTCTTAAGATTGGGAACTGACCTGTGGACCCCAGTCCCTGCATCAAGTCCATTTTATCTCTGAGCTGTTTTGTGCTGCTTCAACGATGCAAAATAATCCTCAGGGCTGCTCAGACAGAGAGGGGCTTGGTTAAGTGGGGAGTGTGGAAATTTTCTGTCCTGGACTTGGAACTCTGTTTAGTTTACATGTTTGCTGGCTTGTGAATCCAGATATCGGTATTGCTCGCCCTGGACCTCGATGCAGAATTTAGATCTGGAAAGAATCCAGATTTGAGGGGTATTCAGACCTAGGGTTTCACATCAGCTCAGGGCAGACACGCATTCCTGCAGCAAAGTTTGAAACTTTGTTTACACTCCAATCACTTTCCACAGCTTTGAACCGTTCTCTGACAATAATAAAATTGCAGCAAAGGGACACTGGAAAAGAAACATCAGAAGTCCCTTTAGCCACCTTGGTGCCAGATAGACATGAGCATGCTTGGAATATAAATATTGCATTGATAGACAGCTGAAACTCACATCAACCCACCCAATAACAATGACAAATAACATGTTTCTGGCCAAATTCTGTGTGTTCAGCACTCTGAGCCTTGCTGAAGTTATATGCTGGCCCCAGAGTGTCTGTTCATTGTTGTTTTGAAATTCAAAAGAGGGAGAAAGCTGATTATGTCAGCATCTTCTTGAAGTCATAATTCTTCCTGCTGTTTCCTTCAGAAAATATTCAAGATGACAGGAGTTCTTGTAAATTCTATTTCATCACACATCAAAGAATTGGCCATGATATTCTACTCTTTTAAAAGATGCAGCCATAGCTGCATAGTTTTCTCTATGAGAAAATCTTTGGGAAAAAAAAAAGAATCCAAGCTCATTAAGATCCTTGGGAGTGAGTATGTAAAGTTCAAAATTTTCTACTTTTCTTTTTTTGTCGTTGTTATTCTAATGGTATTGTAAAACTAAAATTGTTATTGTCTGGAAATATATCTGGCAAACAAGATTTCTCACAGATAAAAGTTTGAAATTCTAGATATTTTTCATCTTCCAGTTACAATCCACCAATTTCTCTTTGAAGTTCTTATCTTTGCTGAGTGGCTCTGATCAATACCTCTAACCTGTCATCAAGCACATTTCCCATACTTATTTCAAACAAGGGCACATGTCCTTTGCCCCATTTAGAAATAAATAAAACAGGCACAGAGGGCTGAAGTGATTTTACCAAAATCATACAGAAAAATGAGGCCAGGCCTCTTGTGCCGTACACCACAACACATTGGATTTTATTTTCCCCCCAAAAGGTTAGACACCCCTTACCAGCCATTTGAACATTTCAGTGTTTCCACACTTAAATACATGGGAATGATGCAGTTTTACTGGGATTCAAGGGGTTATGAAAGCAGCAGCCAACCTTGAGGAGGGAGAGGAGGGGAGTGTTTAACATTCTTCTGTTGCCTCGTGAAACGTTCAAGGCCTCGCGTAGCCAGAGGAGCTGCCAGGGTAGCTACAACACAGACACATTTCCCATTTACCTTCACCTCTGGTGACCCAGCTGCAGGGCTGGGAGTGTGGCAGAAAACCATAAAACCTCCAATTATGGTCTCCTCTGGCCCCACCAGAGCAGGCTCCGCTCAGGCCGTGATAACCGCGCAGCCTCGGCCTTCTAGGGCGAGGTTGCCTGGGTTTTATCACAAAGGACATTTCAAATAAATAGTAGAGGATGTCAGAGGGTGTGGCTGAGGTGTACTTGAACCCAGCAAGTTGTTAATAAATCAAGGCTCAGGAATCCCCATTGGGTGGATAAGGGTTGCTGTTTTTCCAAATGAGCACTCAGAGCTTGGTGCCAACGGGGACGGAAGTTTTGTAGCAGAGCCCAAACCAGACTGCTGGTCTTTCATTTCCTAAATACATTTCTTGGTGGGACTTGAAAGGAGAACAATTCCATTCAGCTGAGGAACTGTAAATCATCACTGCAGTACTTAATGTATTAAATAATTTTATGTATGCAAATTTAAAAAATAAAAATCAGTCATTCCTTAGGGCACAAGGAAGCAACCATCATTCTTTATTATGATGAACCTGTGCCTCTAATTTTGTATGATTTGTATGATTTCCAGCACTAGGACAGAGAAATGACAGCAGTTCTTGGCTGTATTTTCTATTCTCTATCACAGCAATGCATCTGGGAGAAGATTTTTCTTGGGGCAAACATCCACTGAGGACAGGAGAAGAACATGGAGCAAGTGTGATCTCAGTGAAAAAGCCAGAAGCTTAATTCAATATCCTGTATTCAAAAATTCATTTTTCTTGCCCTCCTTGACGATGAAATCATGGTAGGCTTGGACCTGGTGATCTTTTCAGTATGGTGAATTGATTTCCTATGGACAAGGAGCAATTGTAAAGGTTTATGTGCTTTTGATTTTTCTGTTTACGAGAAATAGCTGTCGTTAAAAGTAAGAATGTATTTTTTTTATCTCTGTCTTCACCACCTTACCTTTCAACATACAGTGCTAAGCAATGCTAATTATGCAGTTACTCTTTTCTGCAGCCCTTTCTAATAGAACTTCTCATTATTGTGAGTGGGAATAAGGAGTCACCATTCCAAATGCAGTGGTGTAAATGTGTGCACACTGCCATCACAGGAAAATCCTCAAATAAAAAGAGGAGTAACAAACAACAGTGAGATTTTCTTTTAACTTTTTTTCTGAGTAGAGGTCAACATTTGAGGTGTGCCAAGTGCCACTGCTCTGGTGATGGTTATTTCCTCAACACTGGGTGGAATGTATGGGGGAAAAATAAATCTCTCATTGCAAAGGACTTGATTTAGGAACACTTCTGGTAAGTTCTTGAAAAGAATGGTTTTTTACTTGGCAAGCAAGTGATTTTTTTAGCTGAATTGGAGGGATAATATACCTACAGATAAGGATAGAAAAAGAAAATAAACAGACCTTAAAAGATGATGTTGGTTTACTTACAAGAGTGCAAGACAGGTTCATGGACCCAGGTGGGTGAGACCTTGGGGAAAAGCAGCTCAGCATGAGTTGCCAAAGCTTTTGTAGCCAGCATTGGCAATTTTTGTTGCTATTTTATTAAAATTAGAAATCTCTGATTTTTTCCAGGGATGTCATTGATCTGGAAGAATGACTGAGCGTGTAATTTTTGAGTTTGTGTTTAACTGAGTATGAAGGTTTATAGGGAAAAATCTTTCTTTGGGTAATTGGACAAGGAGAAGCAACTAGAAGTTTACAACAAAGAACTTTTTATGATAAAAAACCCTGCCCATATCAAACTGTAGTGTTTTTAATGTTCATGACATTTTTTAATCATCAAAAGCAAAAAAAAAAAGAGTAGTTAGTTTGAACCAACATCTTGATGAAGTTTGATTGTTCTGGTCGGAACACTATCCTCATTTATCTCAATTTATTCTGGAGGAAGGGAACATTGGGTTTTGATAGGAGCTTTTTCTTGATTTTTAATGACTTTTTTAATTACAGGTGATATCAAAGGAACATCCCTCTTTTCCATGGGAAAATCACTCAGTGAGCTTCTCAGAGGAGGATGAGCTAACATCAAGTTCTTTTTTGTGCTGCAGCAATCCATGCTTCTTTAAATAATTCAATATTCATGTAAAAGAGTGAATTTGGTTGAAAATGCTGTCACTGATAGGAAGATGGTGTCACAATAGCTGTAGTTTTAAAATACATTACAAATCATTTTACAAATGATTCAAAAAAATCAAATTACAAATAAATTTTCAAATCATTCCCTACCCACTAACAGAATAAAGTCAGTAATCCTTTCAAGACAGTTGGAAATTAGGCTTGGTCATGTCCACTTTGGTGTGGTTTCACTGAAGCATTTTTAAGGGGCTGAGGGTTAATAAATTATTGGTATGCAGTTAAGGGAATAGAATTTAGAAGTGTAAGGGTAAAGATTCACTTCCCAAAGTTCCTGTAAACATACTGAGAATTATTTATATAATTTTATATAGTATATAATATATAATAATATATATTATATAAATTATTATATATTATTTTATACATTGTGTTTATATATTATAATTTTATATTTTATAAATTTTATATCAAATTTTTATATCAATAAATATGAAACTGCTCTAATTCAGGACAAAGGGGAAGTCTGAGTCAGCCTGAAAACTGAATTCTTGATGCAATGTTTAAGTAGTGAATATTGCATTTTGCTATGTATTTTTGCACTGGAAAAAAAATAATCAATTCAGAAAAGTGCCTCTCAGCAGTCTTACTGAAACATCCACCAGTTTTGGGAGTTTCTGAAAACTTTCTCTGACTTCTACTGGAGTTTTCCATTGGTACACATTCACTTCATGTGGTTAGAAACAGCTCATTCCTTTCCTGATAAACGTGGTAAGCACAATAATTGCGTGTTGGAAACGCCTTTTTGTGCTTTTTTGTGCTCAGAGTTCAGAAGTTCTGGGTCCCAGGAGCCACTGGACAAATCCATGAAGAACCATGTGGGAAAAGTCCTTTCTGACTGGGTTGAAATGCTGTGGCTGTAAATCAAGCTCAGCGAAGGATTAAGGGACATCATCTGGAGCTGAGTGTGTGACCAAGGACATCCATGTGATAATTATTGTCCCTTTGCTCATCACTGAATACAGAAAATTGATGAGACCTTGATTATTAACCTCTCACCTGCTGGTGACATCATGGCATGCCCTATGCAAACACCTTAATAAATTAATTTCTTTTCATAAAGGTTTATAGGAGACCACAAGAATTTTTCAGAATGAGAGCCCTACTCACCAAAAGTTCACACTAGAAAACTACAGAGTAGTATATAAATAGTGTATGAGCTCACAAAAATAGTTGGATTAGCTCTCTTTTTAAAATAGTTGTGAGAAACAGTTACTGAGATATTTTCACTGAGCTCATGGCAGTAATCTAAATTAAAGTGTGGTGGGGATTGCTTTTTTGGAAATGTTTTCTAAATGTTTCAATGTAAAACACAAACCAAACTGACTTCAAATCCCTAAATTTTGCACCAACAATTTTGAAGTCTTTCCTTGAAGAAGACAAAGACATTGGAAAGACCAGAATTTGGTGGAGAAAACTTAAGGAGAGCCATGGCAGAACATGGTGTCTGCAATTTTATGGATGTTTTCAGTAGCTTGTGAATTTCTGTCTGCAGCCATTTCTAAAACCCCAGGAAATGTTCATGGGCTACACAGGTAAATTAAACACTGAGATCTTTCAGTCTCCACCTTTTTTGTTTTGGTTTGGTTTTTTGGGGGTTTTTGGTTTTTTCTTTTTCCTGCTGACATCAGTTTGTGAAAATTGGAGTGGTGGTAGGTTCTGTTGGGGAAAATGATCTGAAACCAGGGTAGCAACTCTGCTTCAGAATGATAGCAGCTCAAACCTAGAGGTGAAAATCTGATGGTCTGCTACCAAAACATACCATCTCATCCATATCTTCTTCATTAAATCATTGTTTCTTAAATCACTGTTTATTAAAAATCTGAGTTTAAACTTCAGGTAACAGCTCACCACTGCATGAAAATGTCAGAGTTCCTCAAAGAATACTTAGATTCTTGTCTAGGTGTTTTCTGCCTCTCTTAAATAACTCTTTGTCATTCCTGCTCTATTTTCTATTGAGTTATAAACTTGAATGTTTTAAATCTATTGCAAATAAATATTGGCCTTCACAGAAATTCCCTGAAGGAAGTTGCAGGTTTTTTGCATTTGTTATGGTTATTTCAAATATTTAAAAAAAAAATAAAAATAAAGAGAAATGAACTACAGGCAATGTGTTGATCTGTTACAAGACGTTTAATGTTTACAGAACTATCTAATGTTCTTTTTCTTTCTTCACACAGACAAAACATTCTTTTGTTTATGGATTTCTGTTAGATATACAGTGAAACTGTGTATTTTATATGGTTAATATCACTCACTGCTTTAGACTGGAATTCTATTCCAAAGAGGGCAAATACACCCTGAATGCAAAAGGGAAATAATTTGGATTGAAGTAGATGTAAACTTCTATTCTGGATTTGAATTGAGTCAAATGTTTACATGAATGTGGTTTAGATTGTATCTGTCCTTAGGGGATATGAGATTTTTGGATACCAAGTGTCAGTGTTCAGTGTTCTAGCACTGGCTTTGGTGAGAAACTGCAGAACTACAGAAAACTCTGCACAGAGAAACCCTAAGAGCAAAGAGAAAATTATTTGGACTTTTTTTAAACTAGATTTTTCTCTTTTTATTTTCTTTTTTTTAAATCTTTTTTATTTCTTCTTTTTGTTTTTTCTTTCCCCTCTCCTCTTCTCTCCTCTGGATTTTTTTGAAAGCTGGATATCAAAAACCTGGCTTCAATTGCAAATTCCAGACCTAATGCCTGTTGCACAATAATAATTTTATTTCTTTACAGTTAGATTTGCAAAATGAAATCCAAGTTAAAACCTCAAAATATTCTGCTGTTTCTGATTACTTGGTTTGGTCAGATCAGCTGTGTACCAGAACTGGTGGATGAAATCTTACAATTGCTTTTCAGGAAAATAGGAATTCAACCTTTATTTGGGTTATGTCCCTTCGGGGTTATTTATTGGGGGTTTTTTAATTGGAGTTTTTTTCATGTCAAAAGTTCCATCTGGGTCTCCTTGATATTCCTTGTAGTAATGACAGCTTTGACCAGGCCAGAAGAAACAGAGTGCAGGGTTAAATCCTGTGTATTGACAAAGGAGTTCGATAAAAACCCTTATTTTTTACATTACTGATACATTCTTAGTCACCAGAACCTGGTAGATTTTGAAATGAGGTTTTGTAAATTCCTGATACCACATAAAATTTAAAAGGAATGAATGTGTAGGTTTTTTCAGAGAGGTTTGGTTTGAAATCTGCCTTTAAATTGTTTTAATTTTTTTTTTTATTACTCTGCATGTTAATATTTCATGACAGGCCATGGCTGCTCCTAGTGATGCACAATAATTCAGTCTGGTTTAGGACTGGTGCTTGACACAGCCATCTGTACTACAATGATGATTGAAAAAAAAGACAAATTATTTCCAACTCTTCAGAGCTGCTGTGCTCAGAGTTAATAATTTATACCCAGAGGCATTTGCAAGCACCCCATGCTTGTGAGAGCGACCTCTGAGAAGTGGCACAGCTCTTTGCCCGTGGATATCTGAGTCTATGGACAACTACCATTCAAAAAAACCAAAAAAAACCCAAACAAAACTCAAAACAACTTCATTTAGAAACAGCAAAAGACAAATGCTGCTTTGGGGAATCAAGCTGGAGATGGAAGAGACCAGTCCAAAAAAGGCAGGAGGCCAAAATCTCCTCAAATTCTCAGGTTTATTGAACAGCCAGTGGCCTGGAATTACCTCACATTTTCCTGCCAGTCTTCTTCAAACTGAAAATGGGGAAAATCCTTCCAGTGGATGAGAGAAATTGGCCATTGGGGTGTTTTCACAGGGGCTTGACCCATCCCTTCACCCCACCAGAGCCAGCAGAGTCTGCCCCAAGTATTTGCTGCAGCATCAGGAAATCATGGGCAATCACCTTGCTGGCAGAAACCAGGATGAGCTGGTTATCACCTCCTAGAAACCTCCTAGAAACCTCTGCCTCATATTTCCATGGCCTGAGGTAATTAGTGCCTGGCATCTGCAGAGGAAATAAAATGCATAACACCAGAGTTTCTAAGATGACACTGTTTTCGTTATGGGTTTAATTTTGCAGAGTGTAAAGGCAGATACATCAAAATCCCAAGGAGCCTCTTTTAATTAAAGCCTCTTTTTCTTTTTCTTCTTAAGATTTGCATATGTATTGAGCCATTAAAGAAAAAGATAAAAGGAGCCCCAAACACAGTTTGTACATAGCCTTTATGACTGCAGCTACTTACTTTGCAGGAGACATTATTTTGACTGGAGCAAGTTATAGCATGGCTTGACAGAACTCAAAGCTGCTTTGTAGTGCTCCAGAGGCAGGCAGTGACTGCAGTTGGGAGATTTCATGCATCTGCACCCAGATTTCATGCAGTGCTCTGCCACATGTGGCATTCTTACACCCCCACTCCTGTTCACCTTGCTTTGGGGTTACTTGGTTGGCCCATTTTGGGGCAAGAAGAGTGGATTACAGCTCCCCTCTTCAGTACTGGAGCTTCCTGTGCTACAGCTCAATACTCATGCTCTGTTTGGTTATTTACCATTCACATGATGCACTTTTCATAAGATACATTTTATGCACCTCCTCTTCACCTTAGCAGAGCATTATTCTTGGAACATGGGCGTAGCTGGCAGCAGAAAAGTTGCCTCTGTCCAAATCACCAGCATGAATCTCCCAGATTCCTTAGCCCAGGATTTCACCTCAGCAGTCTGGGATGGAGATCTGTGTTGTTGAGTTGGCAGGACATCATTTGGTGGGTTTCACTGAGGTTAGTTAACAACAGCCCTGTAACTTCCTTCATCGGCCTTGAAATAGTTAGCAAGGACATTTGGAGCTGTGCCTCACTCTGGATGCTGTTTGTCTTCTCTGTTCCAGGACTAACAGCTAAATAATTTCAAATAAAACCATCCCAAATTTACAGTGCTTATTCTGGTAAAATTCACTGTTTGCTTTCCTTTGATAAAGATTAAATAAAAACCAAAAAAGGCCTTTTGGAACTGGCCCCTTAATAGCAGGAAGGAACACCGGAGACATCTAATGGAAGATCAATATGGGACAATTCAGTACAGAAAACACTGTATTTTCATTTTCTTTTTTATTTTGTTTTCCTTATATATTATCTACAAGCACAAGCTTTCATATTTTTAATGTAAAAATGCATACAGATCATTATATATATAAAAATCAACTAGCCTTGTAGCAAACTGCCAGATCCAACTATCCCCAGGCTGGGGACAACCTGTCTGGATCCAGGTGCAAAACCAGTGGCTGATCCTCTCTTCCATCTGTAGTTGCACCAAACCCCCAGATAATGAAGTTTCTCAAAGTTCTAGGGAAGTTTTGGGTCCTGATCCAGGTCTTGCAGCACGGGCATGACTAACTCTTCATCAATTGAAGATAAATATTTAAAAAAACTTCATAAGTGACAATCAACTTGTTGCAGGTAACAAGTATCCCTTTCACCTTTACTCCCAGTTTTTTGTTTAGCATCCTTCCCATCCTCTCTCCCAGGAATGGTCGCAGGCAGAGGAGAGAAATTTAATGTTAGTGTCACATACACACAATTTAGCAGCAGGAGAAACAGAATTTAATCTGTTGGTGTCTGCTGCAGAAAGGCTACTGAATGTGGTTTCATGCTGCACTCAGCCTTTTCAATGCTTGGGCAATTTTGGGCTCAATTTGCACATTGTGGACAGATTTATAACATATCCAGTAATGTGTTGCAACATTGTGAGCAGCAGGAAATCAAGTTGCATTTCATGCTATGTAATGCATATCAACAGGTTATAATGCAGCACAGCAGAAATGGCTTTGAGGGAAGAAAATTAATGAGCAATTAAGTGAAGAAGTTTGTGTTTGTTTTGGAGGAAAGGTGACAAAATGGCAGCCTCCTTTTTGACCAAGTGTTTATCTTGTTTGGCAGTTTTCAAATTCAGTCCTTGCAAAGGAATGTTACTATTTTTATTGTAGGTCCTTTATGTAACAAGAGATGTTTGCACAGTGGAACAGTTTTATTTTCACCAGCATTTTATAATTTGTCCACACAGACTTTATAAAAGAAGATATAATTTGCTGCAAATCTTTTGGAAAGTATGAGGGCTGTAACTCAGCCTCTCTTTGCTTTCAACTCTTCTAGCATGAATATTAATTAGTTTATCTTGTCATTCATTTATAACCTTTTTGTATTTTAAATGCAGCTCCAACCTGAGCCCCAAGAAAGGTTTTTCAGATAAAATATCTGCTGAGGTTTTCTAAGAGGGATGAATGAATTGCTTTGCATACCAGAGTAAAGACTTGGCTACCTTGCCTTGGGATTGCAGGTAAGGATTTTCTTTACTTCAGATACCAGCACTGATTTGAAAGATAACTGAACTTTAATGTTTCAACTTGCAAATGCTCACTCTGGCTCCTAATGTAACTAAATTGCTTGCAAGTTCAGTCCCTAAAGCTAAAGAAATCTGGTTTGTGAACAGGCACAAGCTCGCTCTTTAACACTTGGATTGTTTCTACATTTTAATAGGACTAAAAATGGCAAAAACTCTATTTTTCTTTTTTTTTTTTTTTTTTTTAGTTGAGGCCTGTGCAAGGACCCCCTGCCCAGAAGCACACTGTGAAATTTCCCCTGCAGTGTGTCCAGCTGATGTACAGCATCACACATGAACACGAGGGACAAAATATAGACACTGATTCCAGGACAGTGAAATGAGTTTTTTACCACCCAGGATACAGAAGCAGAGAAAACAAACAACTCAAATAAAATATACATTTGAATGTGATGTTCTTTGCTGGTTGGGTAAAAGTGAAAGTTTTAAAAACAAATTACTTAGGTAAAATATCCTTAAGTGAATTATTTTAATAGAAGTCCTATTTTGGAACTTTTTTCTGTTCACAGGGATATACAGATCTGCCTCTTCAGCCTGTTCCACCACCTATATGGAACTACCTATAACTCAACAGAGTGATGGCCAGTTAGATTTATTCACTTTACTCACTTTCCTTTGCTTCACTTTTCCTTGCAAATGCTGCAAGGGCCCTGTTCCTCAAAGGAGAGCACTGTTAATTTGTCATCCCAGCCCCTGCCTGTGTTTCTGAAGGGATGCAGCACCACTGGTGGGAGACCAGCACAATCTGAATTAAAAGATTCCACTCTTGGTTCTTGCATCTTTTAGCAGTTAACAAACCAACCGGACAGGAGGCAAAACTTGGCTTATGAGGGAGAAGGAAAAAACTGGACACCTTCTATCCCAGGCACCAAAATCTGATAAAATGCATTTCCTGATTATTTCTGGAGAATTCTGCAGTTTCAGAGCAGCTGGAACTCCAGCTCTCTTGAAATGTGTGTCTAGCTGACTAAACACTCCAGGAAACAGACCTTTCCTGTATTTTTTGCATACCTTGCTGAGAACATCAACACTCATGGATTTGACAAAAATAACAAGGAAGGAGTGAAAGCATACAATGAGCCAACAACTTAGAGCTGGTGAAGGTGTCAGGTGAACTTTCTGATTCAGCACAGCAGCCTCTACACATATTCAGTCCTGGAGAACAGCAGTTGTGACGGTTATTGATGGACTGAGGGCTGAATCTTACTTTCCAATGGCTACTGAGCAGCTGGCTGGCTGGAAATGATGTTTAGGCACTACTGACTTGCAGGGGATTGGAGCTAGCCACGTAGAAGCAGAAGATTCTCTCTTGGTTGCCAATCCCCACAATTGTCTGGTCCTTTGTTTGTTGTTTTTTTTTTGTTTCCTTGGTGTTTTTATTTTCCCCCACATTAGTCAGAAGCAGGTGGCTAAATACATTTCAAAACAGGAAAATAGTATGTGTTACTCAAAAAAGTGGTGGCCTTTGTCTTTTTGGTGCTTTTTTATTTCCTCATAGCAAAGATTTGACCATTTCTCACTAAACTCCTCTGCTTGCCCCATCCCTACTCCAAGCTAATACTCTCTAAATGCTCCTCTGCCTCAGGACAGCTCCTTTTTAGCTGCTGATTTTGGTGAGCATCTTATTAATGGCCTGCTTGACGTGGGTGGTGGAGCTTCTCCTGCGAGTCTTGCCCTGGACCATCTTGCGCGCCGCCTCCCGGCAGAGTCGTAGAACTCCATGATGTTCCCCTCTCCTGTGCAAGCAGAGCACTCGTAAAAAGCACAAGCAAGTTCCGTGGCCAGCTTTTCACCTCCTCCGTGCTGACCTGCCTGGCTCATAAGCGGCATTTCCTCAAGCTGCCTCTGTCCGTGATGTCGTAAACCAGCACGAAGCCCTCGCCCCATCGCACGTGTCCTTCCTTCTGAATGGCTCCTCCTGTTGGGGAAGATGGAAGAATGCCTTAGGAATTTGGTTTTTGAAGAAGACAGCAGACCTTCAGAGAGTGCTGGCCCTCCAAAGCCTACAAAGCTGTGTGTGTCTGCTTCACTTTGCACACACAAAAAAGGTTCTGACCTTTTTTGCCACGCGGCGTGTTGCACCCAGTGCCACGACCTGCCCGTGCAGCCGTGTTTTAAAAGGGACACCTGACTGTGACAAATCTGCTCTTCAGTGGGAATCATTGACTGAAGTTGTCAAGCCTCTCACTTGACTGCAGAAACAGACCGAGATTTTGTGCCTCTTGGGCTGGCCACGATAAAAAAGGCATGACAACAAAATAATTTATCCCAGAGTAAAAAACCCCTTGACTCGTTTGTTCTGTCCAAGAAGATTCCCTTGCAGAAGGGTGAGGATCCAGCACAGGGTGAGGAGAGATGGGGGCTCTGCCCAGAAGCAAATGAGTGTCCCCAGAGTAGGGCACACCTGCCACCCACTGTCCCTCTGCCTACCCAAGGATGGAATAAGAACACATGTTGTGAAACGTATTAAAAGGACGTAATTTTTATGTTTGTTTTTGTTTCTTTGGGGTTTTTAATGTTGTTTTGTTTTGTTTTGTTTTGTTTTGTTTTTGTTGTTTTTTTTTTAAATCTTCCTCACAGATCTCCCAGCACAAGAGTGGAGATGTGACGGGCAGTTTGATTAAATTCTCTTTGCTGGAGCTCTTCCAGCCACCCTGGAGCACGCTCAAGCCCTCTTTCCTAAAACAGCAACACTTTTACCTCTCTCCAAAGGGCACAACCTTTTCTTTCCCACGTGTCAGAGCCCAACAAAGGACATTTTCCTGTGTCAGAGAGCTCTGCAGTGCTGGGTCCCATTTTTTTTGTGTTTGTGTTTGCTCCCAGGGAAGGCTGCTTCCTCTGGAAGACAATACCACAACTCTCAAAGTATCCAGCTCAACAGGCTGGCACTGCACAGCTTGTTGATCAAAACCAGTATGGTTGCAGATTAAGGAACCTAACCACTAAGCTCAGGCCTTATACTGTGAAAAAAATTACAGACCAGTTAGGTATTTTAGGAATGCGTGTTTTAAACATGCTGAAATCATCACATTCCCCTCTTCTAGCAAGGGGTCAAGCAGTGATTTCCCTGTTTATGATTTAAAAAGGATAACCAGTGGGCATTAAGCATTTACACCATGGAAAAAAGCCCCAACCAAACAACAACCCTATTTACTGTCCCAGGTTCTGGAAACCAAGCAACTAATCAGAAAGCTAATGAAAAAGGAGCTTGTTTTATCTTAATAAGCTGATAAGCTAAATTTGATAGCATTTGACCTAAAATGTGGAAAACTAACTGTGTAACATTCAGATTTATTACTGCTGCTGGCTCACAGATGTCCTGTATCAAAAGGCAAATATGTACTCTGTAAAAGTCTGGCCAGTGCCTATGGATGCTTTGCATTGTCAGAAACACAATTCTTTCATTTGGTGCAAATCTCTTGCATAGGAGCAAAGGATATCTTTTTAGGGAACTCATTTATTTAACTTGAACTTCTGGAAGTGCTCTGCTTTGTGAACACCCATTTTAATTGTTCACTTTAGAGTGTCACCTCTTCACAATCAGGAATGTTTGGATGGTGTCAGTGCTGCAGTCTCTTCCCAAACCAAAAATGTCACTCCCTCCCTGTGCCACTTTAATTGCTGTAATATCCCAGCTGTCTCTAACAGGGACAAATGGTCAATTTACTTGGGCAGATGGCAAGCAAGCTTGGTTCCAAGCCATGAACACTGGGTTTTTCTTCAAGGCTGTAATGCCTCTTCTGGATAGTATTTCCAGGCTGTTGAAGGAGTTGGAGTTTCCCTTTGTGATCCTGAGTGAATTATATCAAAGTCCCTCGGTGGTGTGTTTTATCTGTGCCTCCCACACCCCCTCTGAGCTGCAGCAATTCCCTCAGGGAACGCAGGAAAAGCAGGAAACTCCAGTTTGGTGTTAGAGCTGCACCTTCAGTGAGTTATTTCTCAGTGCTAGGGATTCCCTGCGTGGCACTCCAAGCTTGAGGTTATTTAGGAACTTCTGCTGTGTTTCTTTGCTTACTCAGATGGCTCTCTGAGGAAGAAATGTGATTTCAGCTCCTTGTTTTGCAGTGCTCATATCGAGTTGGCTGCTCACGTTGGAAAGGAATTTGATGCTGGATGAGTAGCACTGATTTAGGTCAGATTTGTGTAAATAAATCTTACTAAATGTGTGTCTGTTCCTGTGCTTTGGAATGTGTGGTAGCTGCCTGAATTTTAATGAGGAGTGTAAAACAGCTGGACTTTGAAAGCATTTTTGGTGTAATCACAGACACGGCTTCTCCTTCAAGGGAACAGAAAAATCTGAAGAATCTGGTTGTCTTGTAAATTATGAGCCCTGAAGATGTGAGTTCCAGTCTGCTCACACTGATTGTACATCACAAAAACATTGCCTTGCTTGGGGATTTATCAGTATCATTTTCCTTTTTTCTTTTTCTTTTTCTTTTTCTTTTTCTTTTTCTTTTTCTTTTTCTTTTTCTTTTTCTTTTTCTTTTTCTTTTTCTTTTTCTTTTTCTTTTTCTTTTTCTTTTTCTTTTTCTTTTTCTTTTCTTTGTCTTGTCTTTGTCTTTTTGTCTTTTTCTTCGTCTTTTTCTTTGTCTTTTTCTTTTTCTCTTTTTTATTTTTCCCTTTTTATTTTTCCCTTTTTCTTTTCCCCTTTTTCTTTTTCTTTTTTTTTATTTTCCCTTTTTTCTTTTTCTTTTTCTTTCTTTTTCCTTTTTCTTTTTCTTTTTCTTTTTCTTTTTCTTTTTCTTTTTCTTTTTCTTTTTCTTTTTCTTTTTCTTTTTCTTTTTCTTTTCCTTTTTCTTTTTCTTTTCCCCTTTTTCTTTTTCTTTTTATTTTTCCCTTTTTCTTTGTCCTTTTTTTTTTACAGGGCTTGAGATCCTGCTGGACCCCTGACTGAAACAAACCACTGACAGCACAGGTGCACATCTGAGTCCCTTGACTCCTATTAGAGTTGATGAAATAAAATGGGTGGTGGATACAGCTTGTCTGAGCTCTCTTCTGGAATAAACTCCACCTCAAAATCCCTTGGAAGTCCAAAATTGGTCAGCTGAATGCAGGATCCATTCTTATCCTTCATCATCACGGTTAAGCAGAAAAAGCAGAGCAAATAAAGCCAGGCCTGGCTCCATCTGACAGAGCTGTGGAAATAAATTGATTTATTTGCTCTGCTTCACTATAAATAAATCAATCTGACCTGTTCTTGCTGCTCTGGGGCTGTGCTGTGCTTCCAGTTGTATTCCCAGTAAGAATCCAAGGTGCTGATGAGTGTGGCTTTGAAGGCTGATGCCAAATTTCAGAGTGGCTCCTGGTCATAAAGATGAAATCCCCCAGCACTCCTGCTGTGCAAAGCACTTTTGGTTCTTGTGGTCCCATTGTTTGAAAATTTAGGGTTTATTTCAAATATATTTGGAGCTGTCAAAAGGCCTGAGGAACACGTTGGAAAGTGGCAGCAGTTGGTTTGGTTTTGAGCCACAGTAATTCACTAATTAATGAATTAATCAAAATTATTTTGCTGGAAAAAAACAAAACCCAAAACTTCCCTGAGGTCTCTTGGTGTTGATAAGCATATTACAAATATCTCTATTCTTCTGAGCAGTATGATTTAAAAAAAAACAGCAACAAAAAACAGAAAAAAATAATATATAAGGAAAACCTTGAAGCCCATGATCCACAGACTGTCTGTGGATAAAATATTCAGTCACAGCTTTATCCCATCATCACATCCTTGAACTGTGCTCACTGTGACATTTTTAACAGAGTTTTGGCCTATAAGACTTGGCTGCTCATCTCTCAAAACTTTGTTTTATCCTGTTTTTCTGAGTGTATTTTTATATATATTCAGAATATGTTATACATATTCAGAATATGGTATTTTGTAGAGAAAAACTATTATCTGAGAATGAATTTCTAGGTTTTGGGTCATATTTACAGTGATGTAAAAAGCTGTTTTCAATACTTGTTTATTTTGAACCAGCAGTATTTATTTGGATATGACAGCTCTAGAAGATAATGTTTGCAGGGAGGTGTTTCTTGGTTTTAGGAGTAGATAAATCAGCTGAGCAGGAGCAATAATATTTTACAGGAAAACTTAAGTCAGCCTGGTCTCTTGGTTATTTTTAAATACAGAGAGACAAAACCTCTCTTTCCATACAGAATTTTAGTTGATTTTTTTTTTTGTCAAGAAAGGTTACTAAAACAAGGACATATAAAAATGCTTTAAGAAATTTTGGTCTAATGATGGTTTTCAGCCAGGTGAATCCAAGAAATGCAACAGATCTGGAGAAAGACTTTTTGTGTGCTGATTACAGGAGAGTTTTCAGAACAAGAACCTCAGCTAACAGACATGAAATTTTAAGTCAGGTAAAAATCCTGTTGGATGGCAATGTCTAAAAGATTAAAGCTCCCCATAATTAATTCTGTTAACAGAAAGAAGTTCTTGTTCCTTGTTTGGGGTGGTTTTGTTGGTACCTCACAGTGACTTTGACAGCTCATTGGGGAGAATTCTCCCTTCCTTGACTCAGCTCTGGTGAGGTCTGGCCCCTTCTGCATTTCTTTCTGCTTCAGGAACTTTTCACATTTTAGAAAGCCCCTGTAAGTCGAGTGTATCCTGCCCTCCTGTTTCGTGTTCCCTCTGTTATTTACCTTACAGGAGGGTTTTTATTTTGCCACCACCAGTGGTTTTACTGTTTTAAGCACAGTACCAGAGTATAACACAGTACTTTGTGTATCTAGAACGTATTTCTAATGCTAATGTAGTGTAATCTCAAGGGTCACTTTATTCATTAATCCCCCCCCCCAAGGAATATTATAATAAATAATGTAATAAATAAATATTTATATATATATATATATGATTTATATTATATTTATATTTGTCCATAAATTCATATATATTTATTTATATATATACAAATATTGTATTATTACATATAACATTATATTAATGTTATTGATTATATTGTTAATTAAATTATTATTAATTATATTATTTCTATATTTATTAATATATTATATATAACTATACATATAATCACATATAGATCAAACAACATGCCACGATGTAAAAGGAGAAAAACCAGTAAAAATAACATTTCTGAAAGGAAACTCTGCGAATCCCAAATCTGGAGTCCCCAGCCTGCTCCACACGCAGTGAAATCTCCTCTTGGGGATGCAACCCACTCATATCCCTGTGGGGCCAGCAGGCACAAGCCAGGCTTTGGGGCTGTCCCTGCTCCATGCAGATGGGCACAGACTGGGTGACCTCAGCACAAGCTTCAGGTGCTGTGGGGACTCATGGGGGAACAAGGATGCTATGGAATGAAATCTCCATTTCTCCATGAAATATGGACAGGAAATCCAGGAGGAATGAGACTTGATTAGGTTGCTGCTTAGTGAGAAGTTTGGTTTTAATCACATTTTGCTATTTTTA